TCCTGAGGGTGGTGCTGGGCGCTAATGGCACCTACAGCTGCCTGGTGCGCAACCCGGTGCTGCAGCAGGACGCGCATGGCTCCGTCACCATCACAGGTGAAGGGGCAGCTGGACAGCTGGGGAAGGGCGGAGGGAGCAGCTACCTCTTTATTAGACCCAAAGCTGGAATTTCTATAGGTTTGGGTGGTCAGAAGATTTTTTAAAAATCACTTTCATGGATTTCAGGTGTCTCAAACTCTTCCCAACAAGAAGTTCTTAAAGGATTGACTTTAATGGGCTGAGGACAATCATTCATAATATTTGCTTTTCTAAGAACACTTAAGGGTAGCACTTAATGCTGCTTCTGTAGCCGACAAAGTACCTGCCTAGAATCTGGAAATGTGGGCGGAAATTCTGGGGCAGCCACAGGGCATGGCCCCAGGACATGGTGAGGGTGTGCTTTCCAAGGGGAACTTGTGCAGGTGGTGGGAAGGTATTGCTGCGTCCATGGGTGCCATCAGATTCTGAAGCCCTGGGGACATCTGGGCCTCTCCAGGTGGTCAGTCCCCCTCACCTGCGTCAGTGCCAGCCCTTCTTGCAGACCTGAGCTCCACCCAGGCGGCGGTTGGATTGGCTGGGGCTGTCTCTGCTGCCTCCACGTGGTCAAACACTAGATAGAGGCCGCCCTTTTGGCTCTCCGCTCAGTCTCTGGTTTCCAGGTCCTAGCCCAGGTGGGCACCCCTTGTGCCGGGGGTGGGAATGGGGAGGCCCATGTTCCGGCTAGGAGAGGCAGGGTCTACCCAGTCCTTCTGTAGGCCTGCCTGCTCAGTCTGGCTCCTCGATCCTGCCCCTGGGCCAACCGAGCTTTCCCAGGTACCTCCCTGCATACTCTGAGGTCAGGACAGCAGGTTCTGTCTGTCTGGTTCTCCTCTTGTCTCTTCCCACGACTTCCACCCGACCCCCAGCCCACACAAGCTCCATTCTCCCCTGGGTTTCCAGGTCTCTGGGTTTCCAGAGACCTCGGGACTCACCGACTTGTTGCTGCCTTGCTTCTGCCCCTTGAGCCTTGTGTGGCCTTCACTTGTGACAAGCTCAGAGTCCGAGCCCATCACTCTGTCTGCCAGGAGTTCAGGCTCTTTCCTCCTCCTCCTTTAGGTGTTTCTGGCAAGGCTGTGTTCCCTCTGCCCACCCCCTTCCTGAGACTGAACCTACCCTCTCCCTGGAGACCCCCTGGGTCTGTGGTCTCTGTGAGAGTCACTAGCCTGGGCTCTTGGATGTTGAGACATCTTGACCTTTTAGAGAACAGCTTGTGTTTTCTGGTAGTGAAGATGGTGTTCACTGGAGAAAATAAGCAATGTAAGATAGAGTGAGTTGATGGAGAAGGTGACGCTTTAGGAGAAGGGGGTGGTGGTCAGGAAGCCTCCAGCGGCATGTGGGAGCTGAGAGGGCCTCGGAAGACAAGGGGACTTGGTGGTCATTTGCAGTGCTGTGCAGAAAGGGCTGGTGAGCGTAACCGTCAGTAGGTAACGTTTGAGGTGGCTCCATTTAGTGGCCGTTGTTGCCAAGCACATTTCACAGATGAGGAAACTGTGGTCCCGTGAGGAGTTTCCCAAGGCCACAGGCTCTGAATCTTTCGGGGGTCAGGTCCCTCTTAGAAAACTGGATAAATGAGAAATGCAGTAGTTTGTATGTAACTGCGGAGGGTTCATGGCCTCTCTAAACTCATCCACGGCATCTGTGGACCTGGGCGCCAGCGCCCCGCTGTGAGCAGATGAACCAGGATCAGAATCCAACTTTGGCCTCTCAGCCTAATTTTCTCTCCTCCCCGCCAGCCAGCCTCCTGTTTGTTAGAGCGGGTCTGGCCTACTTTGGAGCCCTTGGCCTGTATTTCGCTTCGGGCAGCTTTGTGCCGTGTAAAACATTCCGGGACTCAGACTGTCAGTCCTCCAGCTGGTCTCTCCCACACCTGATGGAGGTTAGGGAGGTTGCGTGTGCTGGGCGGAGCCTCTCCGTGGAGGGGGCTTCATGGAGCAAGCCTGGGCGTGGAGGCTGGAGACGTGGCCTGAGCCCCGGCTCTGTCCTTCCCTGGGTGAACAAGGACAAGTCTGGTCTGTGCTCTAGGCGCCAGCGCCTGTGTAGGGGGCAAGCACAGAAAGCGACGCTCCCCTCAAGTATTTCTACAGCTCTGTTCCCTCCTCTGCTGCTGGAGCCTCGTGTTGGGATTCCCAGGGGTTTCTTATGTGTGCTTCATGGACTGGCTCTCCTGGCCACCATGTCACCTGCTGTCCTCCTTCTTGCCCACCACTCCGGCTCCTGCTTACCAGGGTGATGGGTCCCTTTGCTTCCAATGTCCGGAGCAGCAGTTTTGCCAGCCATGCCCATTGAAGGTCACATCTGCTGCAGATCGCTGCCCGAGGTGCGTCTGTGCCAGGCCTCTGCCACCGAAGGGTTAATGGCACTGCTTGCTGCACTGGTGATGCCCCTGCAGAAGCTGCCAGTGCCCTGCGCGCTCGCTGGCTCCGGACAGCGGAGTAGAGCAGTGCTGTCTTTCGTTAGATTTTTCCCCCAAGGCCTGTGCCCAGGACGCAGCGTGGGTCCCCAGGCTGGGCCGGAGGCTGGTGCGCCTGCAGGAGCCAGGGGGGCCTGTGCTCAGGACAGCTGCTGGCCCTGGCCGGGCTTCCATCCTTCCTGACAGACACCTAACAGGAGGGGCCTCAGTGTCTCACATAAGTGTCCCCCTGGCGAGGCCCCTCCAGACCTGTGCGAGTCCCTGGGGAAGCTCCGGGAACACTTGCTCCAGCGCCCTCGTGACCTCATCTACGTGCAGGCTCGGCAGATGTTTCTGTAAGGGGCTGCGGAGTGGGTGCTTTGGGCTTCAGGGGCCACATACCGTCTCTGCGGCTGCTGCTTCTCCTTCTGTTCCTCCTCCCCCTACCCTGTTTCGGTAACCCTTTACACGTGTAAAAACTACTACGAGTTCACGGACTGTACACAAACGGGCCACCAGCCAGATTTGGCCCACGGGCTGCAGTGTGCTGACTCCTGATGCACGGGAGGGGGCTGTCGCCGGGGAGGGCTCCTGAGGGGTGAATGTGGGGCGGGTGGAGGGCGGGGCTTGGCAGGCAGGGGAAGCAGGCGGCCGTGTGCGGCTGGGAAGAGCCCATGTGCGGCTGGGAAGAGCGGTGGTCTCTGCAGAGACCGGCCGGCCCCAGGTTGGCTGGGGCGGAGGCTCCTGCGGCGGAGCTAGGAAGAGAGGCCAAGGGAGGGTAGGCAGCGGCCGGATTCCACAGGTCCTTTCTGACTTTTTCGTTTTTGAAGTGAACATAACCTCAAGATTTTGTTATGTTCGTAGTACAACAAAAGATGATGCTTAGAACTGAATGACTTGCCGGTTCCACGCGCTCGCATCCCCCAGCGGCGGCTGCCCAGACCTGTGGCCGCCTGGCCCGTCTTCTCTGTCCTTCCCGCCCTTTGCGGGACAGTCGGCTTCGTCTGCCCACCTGCCTCCGGTCACTACGCGCTTTCCCTGGGCACATAGAATCCTTGCCCTTCCCGCACTGTGTCGCCTTGTGGGGTTGGCGTTTGCCACACTCCTTACTGACAGTCCGGCGGGTTTTAGGAACGTTCACCATGCTTGTGGGAGCGCCGTCGGCAGTGAAAGCATAGAGGTTCTTGGATCATCCTGAGAAGCTTGAAGCATTGTTCGGAAGTCAGTGGGGAGCCATAGAAGGTTCTTGAGCGTCATTCTACCACAGCCTCTTCAGCCCTTCCTGGTCGCGGCATGTCCACAACATGGCATGAGCCCTGCGCCGTGGCTGTCAGGGTTTGGGGGTGGTATGGGGAGGGGCGGTCGGAACTTAAGTGAGTTTTATTCAGTGTTAGGGCCCAGTGAGGGTGGGGACCCCCGTCACACCTTGGACCATGGGAGCCAAGCATGCTGGTCTCACTCTCCCCAATTCCCCTCCCAGGGCAGCCCATGACATTCCCCCCTGAGGCCCTGTGGGTGACCGTGGGGCTGTCCATCTGTCTCGTCGCACTGCTGGTGGCCCTGGCCTTCGTGTGCTGGAGAAAGATCAAACAGAGCTGCGAGGAGGAGAATGCAGGTGAGTGGGAGGGGGCGTGTGTGCGTGAGATCAGTAGTGTCACTTTCTAGGGATAGAGGAGTGTGGGTGTGCACATGGGCCTAGATTGTGTGTGTGTGAACTGAGTCTACCATGTCTTCGTGTGTGAGCCTGTCCGTGTGCACATGTGGCAGGATGAGTGGATGTGAGCGTGGCCGCAGGTGGTGGGTGTGGAGGGCCGGGTGCTACAAGGGATGAGTGTGTCTGTCCCACAGGTGTGCCTGGGAGAGTGGGAGTCACGTGAGCGTGTCTGAGTGAGGGCAGATTAGAGCATGGGGACGACACAAATGCATGTCGCAGGGTAGGAGTGTGTGTCTGCCTCACAGTGGCTAGAGTCGGAAGCAGCTGCCATTTGCTGGGCCGAGGGTCAGTCTGAGTGGACGCTGGCAGTTGGTAGTGGGTCAGAGGACCTTGGCGGGTGAGTGAGTTGACCCTGGGAATGGACACATGGGTACACAGGGGCATAAGAGTACGTGGGTCACCAGAGGCTGGGAGACGGCTGGGGCTCAGGAAGGACAGTGGAGGAGAAGATGGCGGGTGGCAGGGGGTGAGTACCTGTGCAGCGGGCAGGTGGAAGGCTGAGTGCATGGGCGGCTGGGCGGGTGCATCTGTCGGAGGGGGATGGTGGTGGGCTCGGTGAGCAAGTGGGCGGGTGAGGTGAGGGGGTGGGCTGGGGGGTGGGGAGGTGGTCCCTGGCCAGGTGAGTGCCGGGCTCCAGGCTGGGGGCCCCCTCATTCTGTCACAGGCTCGGCCCTGACCCCAAGTTGCAGCCTTGGGTCCGGCATTCGGGGCACAGGTCAGGCCTGCTCAGGCCCCGCTTGCCTGCCTCCTGCACTCCCCGCTGGGGAAGGGCAGGGACGAAGGTGGGGCTGAGAAAGATGCTTGTTCACGCCGAGTTCTTGTCTTGTAGGAGCTGAGGACCAGGATGTAGAGGGAGAAGGATCCAAGACAGGTGAGTCTGAGCTTGGAGCTGGCCCTCTTGGCTGGGGGAGGAACACAAGGGACAAGAGAAAGGACTTCAGGATCTGGAGGGGCCAGATTTGCTGTAAGGTTTGAATGAAGTGTGTCCTCTGGACTGAGGCCCCCTGACCAGGTGAGTCGGCTCTTCGCTCGGAGCTGGGCGCGGCGGCAGGTCTGACCGCCGCCAGGTGCACCTTCATTTCTCCTGCCAACCTTGCACCTCCGCCAGGGCCCACTCTGCCTGACCGACCCTGCACTGCGGAGTCTGATGGCTTCCCAGGGGTAGGAGCAGGGACTCGACACAGGGCAGTCTGGGTTTAAGTTCCAGCTCCACCTCACGTAAACCGAGTGGCCTCGAGCAAGTCACTTTGCCTCTCTGGCCTAGTTTCCCCATATGTATTAATAAAATGGACATATAGCAGGTTCGTAGGTCGTTTGGGTGGAATTAAATGTGATAATGTCTATAAAGGACCTAGTACCATCCCTGGCACCTAGTAAGTGCTTAATATACTGGAGTCCCGTTATTATCAGGCAAACAGCTGAGACTGTCCTGTTCTAGTTAGAGGCCGTTTAACTCAGGGCAAGGTGCTTTGTTCCTCTGGGCTTCAATTTCCCATCTGTAAAATGTCATTCTGACCCTGCCCTGGTGGCACCAGAGGCCTGTTTTGAAGTTCTCTCGAGTGACTGGATTGGGAGGTGCTTTGCAAAGGACACTGCGTGGTAAACCGGGAGCCCTGCTCAGGGGGACGCCAAGGCACTGGTGCTGTGGCCACGGGAGGCTTCACTTCCAGGGCTTCCTGGGCTGGGAGAGGCGGGTTCCTCCTGGTTGCCGTTGACAGCAGTTTCCTCCCCACCCCCGCAGACAGGAGATTGACACCTGGGGACTGCTGTAAATTATGCCAATTAATTCTCTGCCTGTTGGTGCCCAGTGTGGCAGGCATGGAGAGCTCTGGGATCAGACCTCATTTTTCATGCTCAGAGGCAGACGTCGTTGGCAGAAGGGAGGGTGTGGGGACAGAGGGTGGGTTAGAGATTCGGTCAATCTCCGGTCCACGTGGTCCCAGGCCCAGCTGGGGGTGCCTGCAGGTCTGCCAGCCTCCTTTAGCTCCTTGTGTCACCTTGTGTGTAGCATGGGCTCAGTGCACTTCCATATCTCCAGCTCGCTGGACGGCTGGGGGGTTGTCCCCATTCTATAGACGCAGAGAGCTGGGGCCCAGAGAGAGGAGTGACAAACCAGAGTGGAGCTGAGACTTGGGACTGGGGCTTGGGATAGCAGCCCAGGGTCCCTGGTGCTGTGATGTTGTCCCTACCCTGCCAGTTTCTTCCTCCTGCCCCTTCCTCCTGGTCCTTCTGGCCCTCCCTTCTCCCCGCGCCAGACACCCTACCCCTCTGCTTTCCACGCTCCTCCCTCACACGCTCCTTCCTGTTTTGCAGCCCTGCAGCCTCTGAAACACTCCGAAAGCAAAGAAGGTAAAGACGTGCGGTGCTCGGGGTTGCGTGTCTGTGTGCTGGTGCCTCCGTGTGCAGGAGGCGGGGGTGTGGGTGGGTGTCCGCCTTTCACTGGTGACCTGAGGCTCCCTCCCCGGAAGAGCAGCCTCACCTTCCCCCGGTGAGATGGCAGAGGGCTGAGTCACCAAGGTCACAGCTGTGCTAAGAGGACCCAAATATGGCAGGGGTTTAACCGGGTTAGGAGTTTTTGTCTCTCCAGTAAAAGTCTGAGCACAGGTAATCTTAAAGCCACGACGTCCTGGAGCCAGGTTCCAGTTACCTGGGTTTTGCCCTCTTCAACTCAGAGCTTCCATCCCCAGGTCCAACAGGCTGCTCCCGCTTCCATGCCGCCTGCAGAGGCAGTGGGGAGAGAGGAAGGGGAGGGCAAGTTTCCTTCTAGGGCTTGACTGGAAATAGCGCGTCACTTCTGCTTACCTTCTGTTGGTCGGAACCTAGTCACGGGACCCCTGACTCAGGCGAGGCTTGAAAAGCCATTTCAGCTGGGCAGCCATGTTCCCAGCACATAGTAGGTGGTTAGTAAGCGTCAACAGTCGTCAGTATTCACATTATAACAGCAGTCACATTAGGGAATGTAGGAAATAAGTTGTTCTCCTCCCTGTTGCTTGGAACCAAATGATCAGGAGAGTTGAGCAGATGGAGATCACAATGCCAGCCTGGCTTTGAGGAGTTGCCGGAGACTGGGGCCAGGTCGGCAGAGCGGTTGGCTGCCTCATCCTGCTCCTCCGCGAGGCAGCCTGGCCCCAGTCTCTGGCCATGCTAGACGACTGCAGAGGTGTCCAGGTGGGGGAGCTCCTTTTCCTGGGGACAGACAGGCCCAAAGACCAGGACAGGGAGGGGTAGGGTGGGCCGAGCCCTTCTCCCCAACTCCATTCAGGTCAGGATGGGGAATGAGGTCAGGGCTGTGCCCCTCGAAGTGAAGACAGGAAGCCAGAAGGAAGGAGGCTCCCTACAGCGTCATTCTTGGGGAAATTGGCATGGAGGGGGACACTGGAGAAGGGCTTCCGCCAGAGGAGGGATTTGGGCCAGGCCTTGGAGGGTGGACTGGGGGGACGGTGGGGGAGATGGGAGGTGGAGGGCCGGTGGGAGGGCAGTGTGGGTGGGCCTGTGGGATGGAGAGGGAGGCGGGCGAGGGGAGGGTGGTCTCCCTCAGGGGCTTTCCTGGTCATGCCCAGTGCCCGGCTCCCAGGTCTGTGCCTGGGCTCCAGGGCGGTGGTCAGCACAGGGGCTGTCTGTCGGACTGCCGTGGCCAGTGTCACGCACACTCCCCGCCTGAGTTATGTGACCCGGTGCCTGGGCTTCTGGCTTTAATACTTTCCCCCACCCTTTTTTTCTTCTTGTCATGAAATGTAGAGGACGGACAAGAAATAGCCTGACCACCAGGACCAGGGAGCTGCTGCCCCCGCCCTGGGACTCCCATCCTCTGGCTGCACTGGGGCCCAGTGTGAGCCTTGCCCCCAGCAGATGGGTTCCCCTCTGGCAGGTGTGCTCGTTCTCCAAAGGATGTGACACCCAGGCCACCCTGCAGCCTTACTTCTCAATGGACGCGATTCCCAAGTCATCCTGCTGCCTTCTTTCTTAGGGACACAGCACACAGACCACCCCCCACCTTATTTCTCCAAGCCGCCCTGCCTGCTGCCTTATTTCTCCAGTGACACACTACATACACCATCCTGCTGCCTTATTCTTAGGGACACAGTGCACAGACCCACGGACCACACGACCACCCTATTCCTCCAATGCCACACGGGCCATCTGACTGCCTTTTTCCCCCAAAGGGCGCAATATTCAGACTGACCCCTGCCTTATTTCTCCAAGGACACGATGCACAGTCGCCCCTTGCTGTGTTGCCAGTGGCCCCGATACACTGGGTGTGGTTGCTCGGCCCTGTCCCCAACCCCTGCACAGAGTCCCATCTGCCCCGGCAGGGCACGAAGCCTCGGCATCTCCTAGAGCCCTGTGGCTGTCTCTTCGTCCTGTCTCCTCCCGCTCTGGCCCCAAAGTTGGCCTTTTCCCTCCCCACCAAGTCAAGACAAGGCCTCTCCCCTGCCACACACAGGTGTGCAGAGACGCACAGGTGCACGTGCTGGAACACGGAACGCATGTGGTCTTCCCCTGGCCCAGTCTCCTGCGCGGTGCCTCGGGCTGTGCCCTGCGAGGCCTTCTTCTCTGCCTGGCCTCCCCACGGGAAGCGTGTGCTGGTCACACTGGTTCTCTGGGGGTCTTCAGTGGATCCCCTGGGGGTTAGCTTCTGTCCCTCTGCTTTTCCTGCTGTTGGAGCCTTTGTTTCTTCCTTTTGGTTTATCCATTTAATTAACATGTATCGAGCAAGCACAGGGTGTCAGCACTGTGCCAGGCGGTGGGGGCCCCTCCCTCGAGCGTCTGCCCCTGCAGCTGGGCAGCAGCTTCACCGCCTGCAGTTCACGGGCAGCTCCTGCTTTGCTCCCTGCTGTGCCCACAGCCTCCTGGATACCTCACCCCCCTCCCACCCCTGGTTCTTACCCAGAGCACAGGGTGGGGGCAGAAACCTAGAGGGAGGAACACAGCCCCTTGCCACAAGTAGGGCATCTGGTGGGTTCCAAAGTGTCTTTCCAGGTGTGAGCAGGTGGCCAAGGCCCTCCACACCTTGCATAGCAGCAGCGTGGGCGAAGCCTGGGGCCTCTCGGAGCCTGGGGTGGGGCAGGGCCAGCAGGGCTTCCAGGACACAGAGGGGACTCCCCCCCACTCTCACCACGGTGCTATTCTGGGGCCAGGGCAGACACCTCCTGGCTTGCCTCCGGCCGGCCCCCAGCCTCCAGTAGAGCAGAACTTGTGATGTTCCGTCGCCTTCTGGATGGCATCTCTCCCTACCCAGCAGTGGAAGATGTGAGGATTTCTAATTTAAATGTGGGACTCCGAGGAGTTTTATAAACTGGGGATGTATTTTGGGAAAAATAAATGTCTTTGTAAAAAGCTTTCTCCTCTGTCAAGTGTTTGGGAGCAGGGTGCGCTCGGGACTCCGCAGGGAGGATTCCCTTCTGGACGTTTCAGTCCAGGACACGAGTGCCTGGGTCTCCTCACTCTCATCACCATCCGTAAGTCACTGGGTCTCCATGGCCCTTGTGGTCCCTCCCTGGCCTCAGTTTCCCTCTAGGTGGAGTGGAGTTGGTGGTCCAGAAAGCCAGACCTTAGTATATGGGTCTCCTCCCAGCCCTGGAAGCATCACCTGATTTCTTTGCCTCAGGACTCAAACCCTAGGCTTGTTTAGGGGCTCTGCTGATGTCCCCATTTCACAGGCTGGAAAGCTGAGACCCAGTAAGAAGCTGATGCCAGGAAAGGAGTTCTGCATGCTATTCTTGGCTGGCCCAGCAGGATGGGTACCAGGCCAGGAGTTGGGTCTGGCCCAGGGCCTAGTTCTGCCCTGTGACCCTGGCAAGGCATTTCCCTTCTCTGGGCCTTGGCTTTCTTACGTGAAAAATAGGACTGAGGTTTTAACCACCTTCCACTTAGAAAGCCTGAGAGGAGGCAAACAGGCTTCCAGAGAGCCAGGTTGGGGGAGGTGGCGCTCGCAGAGCGCACTGCGTTCGTTTGCCCCCAGCTGCCATCGTCTCAGCCCTGGGCCAGCCGGTCAATCCCGGGGCTGCACAGGCCTGGGCTGGGGGTCAGGACACTTGACTTTCAATCCTGGCTCTTCTACTAACTTGTGGCCACGCCCTTCATACCTGAACCTTATTTCCTTATCTTTTATTGGCAAACAGGGGTAATGAATCCTCTCCTGAAAAGCGTAAGGTGTTCTTTACAAACGGAAGGATTTGTTACAAAGTTGATGGCGCTAGGAGTGAGATGGGTCACCTTGCTCGAAGTCCCGTCATCAGTGCCGTGTGGGGGTTTCAAATGGAGAGACTCGTGCCGGAGATCCGCCTTTGCCCCTTGCAGCCACTGTGGCCCGAGCGTGTCATCTCAGCCCACTTGCAGGGCAGAGGCAGTGATAGCTCTTGCTTCGAAGGATTGTCGTGAGGGGTGGATGAAGCAAACTGTAAAGTGCTGGGCACACGAAGGGTTATGTTTTCCCTCCCTGTAGTTGGGCCGGGCACTGTTGCTGCCTAGGCGACTTGTAGATTGAACACAGTGGCCCAGAGCAAGCTGTCTGAACCTCAGTTTGCCACTCTGTAAAACAGGCACAGCGACTGCGACAGGGCAGGGGAAAGGCTCACACAGGACATTGTCTCAAGTGCTTGGGGGAGGTCCAGCAGGCGCGGGACTCGCCTGGAGGTGAGGGGCAGAGAGAGGCCACCAAGTCCTCTGGTGCCGAGCACCCTGGACAGCAGTATTTTTAGCCGTCCTTCCCGGGCACCGCGCCAACGCCTGCATTTTAATGGAGAAATAATTCTCACAGTGCGACAAGCTGGAGCCTGCAGGTGTCACATCCATATTAAAGGGGACAGAGCGAAGGTTCATTTGCTCGGCTCGAGGTGTGACCAGAATTCACCTCTGGGACTATCTGTAAGCAGGGTTGTGGAGACCAGTTGGCTGATCCGACCACTCGCCACCCAGAGAGAGGAGACGGGGAAGAGACTGGTGGCGAGGCCTCTCCACGTGTGTGTTTGAGAGTGTTCTGCTCACACACACAGACGGCAGCGGTGCCTTCCACGGGAGAAGCGGCACTGGCCTTCCTCTGTGCCAGAGGCGGCGCCGAGTGGGATGTTGGTGCGTGTGAGCAGAGGTCCCGGCGGATTCTCAGCCGGGCAGTGTCCAAGGATCCTGCTGCAGAGCCCACGTCTGGAGCGGAGACCTGGAGCCAGAGTTTGCCCTGAGTAGCCGAGCCCCTTGGCCTCCAGGTGCAGGGCACTCAGAGAGCAGCTCAGAGGCCGGTGTGCCACGGGTGGGGGCTCGGGGTCTGGGCAGCGGGATCGCACACTGCAGATGCGGATGATACGGAAAGGTAGTCCTCCCCGCCGAGGAAGCGTCATTGAGGGTTTGCTGTCTTTCCAGACCGGTTTCTCCAGGCTTACGCATTTATACAAATGGTAGCATATGTATTGTTCTGCAACTTCTTTATCCTGTTTTTCTTTCTTTCTTTTTTTTTTTTTAGATAGGGTCTTGCTCTGTCAACCAGCTAGAGTGCAGTGACATCATAGCTCACAGCAACCTCAAACTCCCGGGCTTGAGCGATCCTCCTGCCTCAGCCTCCCAGTAGCTGGGACTACAGGCTCGCGACACTGCGCCCAGCTAATTTCTCTATTTTTGGTAGAAACTGGGTCTCGCTCTTGCTCAGGCTGGTCTCCAACTCCTGAGCTCAAGCGATCCTCCTGCCTCGGCCTCCCAGAGTGCTGGGATTACCGGCGTGAGCTGTTTTTCTTTACTCTTTTCCCAAGTCAGTTCTTCTAGAGTGCCCTCCTCCTCCACTTTCCATATTGATGTGTAACATACCTCTGGTGCTTAAAAGATGCTAATTCTCACTGTAGGACTCGATGAATTTTCACACAAATCTACCCGTATAACTAGTACCAGATGGAGCAATTCCAGAATCCCAGGAAGTTCCTTACCGTCCCTTTCCAGTCCACAGCCCCACCCTGGCTGTTTTCACCACAGATTAGATTTGTTTGTTCTTGAACTTCGAATGAATGGAATCCTACAGTACACACTATTTTGAATCAAGCTTCTTGCAAAGACCTCCCTCATTCCTTTTAAATGGCTACACAGTATCTCATAGTACTGCTGTTCTAGAATGTATTTTGTTAGTTCTTACAGTTTAGATACAAACAATGCATCCTTGTGCTCCAGTTTCTGTAGTATAGAGCCCTAGAAGTGGGATCTCTGGGTGCATTTTAAATGTCGGTAGAGTTGCCAATTGTTTAGGCTGCCTTTTTAGCCAGTCCCTTTGGCAGGAAGACTATGCAAGTGAAGAAAACTCCAGAGTGACTAGCAAAATTGATTGTAGATGGGGCAGAAATGGTGCCTGGAATTCGTGCCCAGCTGTGTCAGGGCCCTGAGGGGCGGAGCCCGACTCAGCAGTGTGCAGGGCCTGCGGTCAGCCCCGTCTCTCACTGCCTCTGGGCTGCCTGGCCCTTCAGCATCTGCTACTGGCTGCCACTGCCTCAGCTCTCCAGGAGCTGCCTTTGCCTTTCTGGGCCTCCGGTCCTGCGGTGAGTGTTGCCTACTCCTGCGGGGTGGTGTGGGCCCACACTGTGGTCTGAGCGTGTGTGCCAGGGCTGGGCTGAGCCCGGCACCCACGACACTGTGATGGATGGGGAGGCTCCTCTGCATCTTATTGGATGTAAGTGCCTCAGGGCGAGTTCAATCTTTGCACTCGTGTCCCAGGGCACTCATAAGCTGCCATTTGGCTCTACCAGCTCCAGGTAATTATGGCGACACTATTTCATCACTAACGAGGCAGCACTCTGTTAGAACAGAGAAAAGCCCAAGTCTCACAGGGCAGACATATCCCAGCCCTCACACAGAGGGTCTGTGACCTTTGCTCCTAGCCTTTCTCCAGCATCTGAGCAGCAAAATATCCCCCTCCCCTCCCCTCCTTCAGCTAATATGATTTCTCCAACCCCAGCGCCCTCCTCTGGATGTGTTCATCATTGTTCCTTTCAGACTGAGTCCCCTGACATGGATTGTGATGTTTCAGCTCGTAATAGATTAGCTCTCACCTCCTCTATCCTGGGCACTATGCTCCTGGTGATGCAGCTCCAGATGCCATTGGTCCAGTGGGTTCCACACCCCGGCTGCACATTAGCATCACCTTGGGAGTTTTAAATAATACCACTGCCTGGGCTCCATCACCAGCGGTTCTGATGCACTGGCTGAGATCCTTGCTAAATATTTGACGTGCAGACCCCAGGGGCTCTAGCCTAGCTTACGAGTTCATGTAAAATAGGACTGAGAAGGACAACCCTGGGCAGAGACCTTTGAGACCAGGCACTCGAGCTAAGCCAGCTGTCCTCGGTGATCACTGTATCAAACCAAGGGTTTTTTGTTTTCTAACTAAGGGAAGCACAGGAAATACAGGAGCAAGGAAGGTTGAGGGGAGTGATCGAGAAGGACGCCCTGTTCCCTGTGTTGTGAGGTGGGGGACTGCGGGAAAGCAGGAATTCCGAGTTTCTGTCCTCAGTAGACCAGATGCCCAGGCCCTGGGAGAGCGAGAAAGGGTGGGGTGACACTGGGGATGGCTCAGCTCCTTTCAGCTCTAGTATAGGAGATGGAGGGTCCTCCTGCGTCCCCTCCTCCTCCTCCTCCTGCCACTGACTCCCTTTTTCCCTTTGTGTCTCTCCCTTGTCTCCCCCAGGCCTCCAGATGTGCATAGTCATGTGGGTAGCTCTGGCTGCTTCCTCCCTCCAGCACCGTGTTCTCCACGGAGGGAAGGACCATCTGTCCTGCTCCCTGTAGCCGTCGGTCTGTGTGCGTGTGCCAGGCTCAGGGAGGTAAGAGCCTTCGCGCTCTTCCTGCTTTCCTCCCCACCGTCTCAAGTGTGCTTCCGCCCCAGGGTGTCTTGGGGTCCCTGCCATGCCGCACACCTGCAGCACTCAGAGTGACGGGGCTCAGCGTCTCTCCTCACCACTCCCCTCAGACTCCTGCAGCTCTCTGGCCTCTAGTCCTCCCTCATTCTCAAAGCTCACCCACCCAGAGTCCACCCACCTGCTGTAATTCACAGGCCGTCGTGCTCCCTGGGGCCTGGTCTGCGCCCTCTTCCATTTCCTTTCTGCTCCTGTGTGCCAGTATCCTCCCCTAAAAGGTCCCTGCAGAGCGTGACCCCCACTGTTGGGGGTGGGGAGAGGGACCAACATGTGTCTCTCAGAGCCTACCAGCCACTGAACTGACGTTTTGCCTTATTGGCAAGGATAATTTAGTGTAATTTGCTGCTAATGAACGAATGCACTTTTTTTTTTTATTTCAGCATATTATGGGGGTATGGATGTTTAGGTTACGTATGTTGCCCTTGCCCCCCACCAAGTCCAAGTTTCAAATAT